AGAGAAGATAGAGAGAATATATATATATATATATATATATATATATATATATATATATATATATATATTGCATTTTCTGATATTCTGTTGGACATGACTCATTGATTTTAGTAATGAAGACTTCCTAGTGTGACTGTAATAACAATAGCAAAAGGCTTAGTTGTGTTGTAGTAATTATATGATTAAAATGAAATGGCTCCATGGATTGCCTTCACAAGATGAATTCATATTTAACAAATTTAAAACAGAGCTCATATAGTACATATTTAATATAGATTTCTTGCCTACTCTAACAGTTAACTGTGCAACATGTTTCCTCAGAATGCTAATAATATAACTAAAACACTTTTGGTGTCATTCATGATCAATACATGTATATAAATCTGTAATTCTCTATCTATGTCAAGAAGACTACTCCTGTATCTTCCTTTTCATCCATGTTTGAAGTCAGACGGCTGTCACCTACCAGCTTTAGGTGGCTCATGAAGTTCCAGGTGCTGGGGATTTTCGGAATCAGACAACATATTGAGGTCCCTATAAATTAAGACAGGTTATTACGAAAGACATAGAGGAATCCTGAAACAATGGTCCCTTCTCCCACCTGCCTTGATTTTTCTGTTCAGGAGATCAATGAGAAGTGGTATATGATATAAAGCAGCTCCCAGGCATGCTCACCCTGCTAACCCAGGTCATATTAGCAATGTTGTTAAAAGTCGAAGCTGATAAAAATGATCATTTAAGGTGAAATCTTTATGGATTAAATGCAAGTCATGTCAAAATATTGCACACATTGGGTTCAGGCCTTCTTTTAAATGGAACATATTTTAATAAAAGCATAAAAGGGAGATGTGGGACACATTAGAAATAGTTGCTGGAGTCTTGTCTCTTGCTCACTGGCAAAGGTTCCACCTTAACAATTTTAAATCAAAAGAGACATGGAGAGCCAAAAAATGGAAACAGAAAGATGGGGAAAAACTCACAGTCTTACACATATTTCTGCTTCCCCACTTTGCTGATTAATGATGCTCTGTACTTCTTCATATGTCTTAGAAGTTAAGGGGATCCCATTCCATTCCAATACTTGCATCCCTAAAAGACAAATTTGAGTATAAAATCAAACGTGTGCTATTTTCAGTCCTAGGTCACAGGGCACAAAAGACTTTCTGTGCTTTTACAATCCATAGCAGCACACCGTATCAGAGAACATTGGCTCAATGTTCCCCAGAACATCATGTAGTTGGATATAAACTTACCTGGATGTATAATATATGCTTAAGACAACATGCAAATTATGCTTTTAAAAACCTGTTAATTCTTACCAAGCACATGCATTCTGTTCACACTTCTATAAAGAAAATTGTATTGAATAAACAGACAAGTAATTGCAACCAAGCTTTAGATATTGACTTCCAGATTCTTTTATGGAATGGGATGGTACAAAGTCACTAGGATTTCCTGATGAATCTCTGCTCTTGATTCTGCCCAAATAAGTCAGATTGTACTTTTGTGACAGACGTTTCTGAAGAGAACAGCAAGCATGTTACAGGAAGGTCAGCTTTGTGGGCCTGTGTCCTGTGCAATAGTACAAGGCTCTGAGTTCAGAAAGGCTCCATGCTCTGCTGTCATCTTGAAAATTTGCTTTTTTCATTTTTCACTGAATCTGATAAATAATGTACTCCACTGCCTGGTCAAGGCATTTTGTTTATGCAATCTATGTGAAAAGACATTTTTATGCAAAAAGAAAATAGTAATATATTTAATGTTTAAATATTTTATATTCAGGGTTTTCCATTCATTTTGTGAGTTGCCAAAACAACCTAAGAGCACATATTTGACATGATTCACATGGGCCTAGTAAGTATCTACATGAGATGGATATGCATAGTGAAAATCATCCAATTGAGTATGCAAATATTTGTGAATGTTATCAGCTTTACCCTAGAGAAACTGTCTGTAGGCAGTAATATAGTAAATGAAAAATAATAATTACTGTACAATTTCATCTTTTCTATAATTCACACTCCATAATTTCAATTTCCTATTGCTTACTTCAGCACTGGTTCAATGGGAAACTGCTAATATTGTATAGTTGTGTCTTTAATTTTAATGGTATAATATACATTGGGAAACATGTTACCAGTTGCAATTAAGTGAAAGAAATGTCTTTATACTAGAGTGGAGTGATAGAAAAAGGCCATCAAAAGTCTCACAGTAACACAGAGAAAGACTTTTCTATAACTTACTCCAAGAAAACTTTATCTTCAGATGGGCCTTAGGCTTATTTCAACAATCCCAGCTGTTGTACACAGAAAATAAGAACATTACATAAAAGACATCGACTCTAAGATTAACTCAGAACAGAGAAAGCAGAAAGCAAAACATACTCAAAGCTGGGAAGAAAACCTATATTTATTCTGAATTGGAAAATTAATGCTATAATAATTCAGATATTACCCCTCCACATCTCTACACAATCATATTTCATGGAAAAAGTCACAGGTCTTTTTTTTCTATTAAATTTATTTGTTAGGGTTTTTACATTTTGGCACAAAGGGAACACTGGCAAAACTTAATTACTAGTGAAATAAAGAATGTGTCTAGTCATAATGAAGGAAAACACATTTTACATTGTCAGGAACATTGCTGAGCATATTCTTGCCACAGCAGGTGTGTGGCACTTTTAACTCTGAGCTCTGCTCAGGACAGACACCTACACTTCTTTCCCTCTCATCTTTTTTTTTTTTTTTTTTTTTCGTGTTATTCAGTGGAGTGGCAAAAGTTAAAACTATTCTGCCAGCTATTTTGTGCTGGTATACAATGCTGATATATAATGAAAAGGGCCACTACTTTCAGCAATAGCTATTTAACACTTCCCACTCCAATGTCTTTCATTTCCTGAAAAAAAATGGAATACAACTTGTACTCATTTCATAAAATATATTCAGGCTTATGAGTGAAAGGACATGTGATTTCAAACAAATAGATTTGATTCAACACAAACAAAATGAAGGACAATAACCGTGGAATCATCTCAGTGGACACATAAAGGATATTTGATAACATTTTCATAGACATCATAAAATTAAGAATAAACTTGGTACGGAAGAAGTACAGTTTAATATGTTTGTAATGAGCCAGTGGTAGGTATTATAATGAATGGGAAAGACTTGAACAATTCTCTCCATGTTCTGGAATAGAACAAGGAAGTTGGGCTCAAGAACCAGTGAAGAGCACAGAGGTCCAGACCAGGCTGGTGAAACACACAGAAACAGCTGACCTGAACATCCGGGAACTCTTGCTCCCCAGTCTGATAGCTGGAATACCAGCATAGGGCTGGTCCAGACCCCAGTAACAGGGGTTTCTGTGAGGAACCCTCAGAAATCTATGGGACCTCCTGTAGAAGCCCAGTATTTATCCCTAGCATAGGTGTGGACTTTGGGAGCCCAGTCCATATAGAGGAATACTCCCTGAGCCAAGACATACGGCCCTACCCCAAAGGAAACGAAAGACTCTGATGAAACTCTATGGAAGGCTTCACCATCCAGGGGGAGCAGAAAAGATATGTGACAGATAAGGTTTTATTTGGGGGGGGGCGGGTAGGGGAGGACGGGTGGGAGAAGGGAAATGGGATTGACATGTAAAACAATCCTGTTTCTAATTCAAATAAAAAAGTTGGAAAAAAATAGAACAAGGATACCCATGCCCAGCATGTGTACTTAGTGCTGGCCTTTAAGAGAAAGAGAAAAACAGGAAAGGCATGGGGACCAGGAAATAGTAGTCAAACTCTCACAGCTTGCACACATAATTTCACAATCCAGAGCCACAAACACATGATCAATGATTTAAGACTGAATTTCCGAATTTCTGCTTCCCCTGGAGGGTGAGGCAGAAAGGATATATGGTAGGTAGTGTTTTAGTTTGGAGAGTGTAGGGGAGGGAACTGGGATTGACATGAAAAACAATCTTGTTTCTAACTCAAATTAAAAAGAAGAAGAAGAAAAAAGACTGATAAATTTAAAGCCCGGTAGTCATGGCACACGCCTTTAATCCCAGCACTCCCAGCACTCGGGAGGCAGATCTCTGTGAGTTTTAGACCAGCTTGGTCTACAAGAGCAAGTTCCAGGATGCCTCCAAAGCAACAGAGAATCCCTGCCTCAAAAACAAAACAAAACAAAACAAAACAAAACAAACAAACAAAAAGACTTAAATTTAGCAGAGTTGCAAGATACAAGGCCAACATACAAAAATCAGTAACATTGCTGTAAACGAGAATAAAGCAAACACTTTTGGTAACTGGAAGGGATGTATACAGACTGCTCCAATAAGCTGGACAAATGTCCCAAGCACAAACTTTGGTGAATAAATATTGTGTATAGTCTATGTAAATTCTATAATAATGAAAGACTGGTTAATGATACCAATGCATTGGAAAACTTCCAGGATGAAAGGAAAATGTTTTGTGGATCATTTTTATTTTGTGTGCATGTGTGGCAGTTTTAAGTTTTAGTTTTCAAAATCAGTACTTTTTAATGGAAACAACTTGACCAAAAATCTGTCACAGGATTTTGAGACCCATTAAAATACAAGTTTAATTAAAAAAAAATTCTGTAATAACAATTTATAAAAATATCCATGGTCCATGTGTGTAGGTTCCAAAACATTTCAATTTCAAAATACCTTTTCCCAAATAAATGTCTTTTTTAGAATAAAGTAGAAGTTTATAAACATTTTAGTGATAAACAAATACTCAATATAAACAATATCACCTGAAACTCATGAGCTATATGTATTATAACTATGTATATATGCATATGTCGCTCATGAATATTACATGTATATGTTACAGAATTTGTATACAGAAGGGTTACATTATCTTTTAGAAAATTAGAATAATTATCATGATGTATTTTGAGAATCTATAAATTTACCGTGTAAAGATGACAATATACATTTTATTTTAAAATGTTCACAGTGGGGTGAATAGTGTCTAAATGTAAACAGTACCACAAGAAAATGTTGGCAAATTTCTGAAGTAAATATTTTGGATGTCATTGACCATGTAATCTCTGTCTCTGCTATTGCAGCGTGTTCCCAACTAAGTTAATAATCCTGGCTATGTTCCAAAACACACTGTTGACAAGAGCAGGTGGCAGATGGATTTGGCTTGTGGGCCATCTGTACCTAGAGACCTGACCTTAGTCTGCTGAATTTTGTTTTACATTTTCATAGCTGCTTTCAGTATAATGTTCATTTTATAATATAATATTAAACTAGGTTATTAAAGGTTTTTAAATTTTACCCATCAGTAAAAATCTTGACTGTGTTTTAAAATAAAGCATTCCAGTGGCTACATCAACTGCCAGAAGAACAATGCAAGTGAAAGTCAAATTATCTTATTTTTCTATTATATCATAATATATTATAACACTGCTATGCCAAAAATTAACCACCATTAATCACAAGACTTTCTGACATAAATTTAAACAAATTGCCTATTAATTTTCATACAAATAAACCATATTTAATATGAGTATATTCATTGTATTTTATTATATGACCTCTAATTCTTACCTTCTACAAGTTTTCCCGTATGTTCTGCACTTCCACCAGGAAGAATCTTAGCAATATAGGCTCCAATTTCTCCACTATGTCCAGGAATTTCTTTGCCACCAACAATTCTAATTCCTAGCCCATTACCTGTATTTAAAATTAGCAAATGGTTATAATAATTCAAGAAGCAAACACTTATCAGAAGTAGGTTACACAAAAGTGGATTAAATCTCAGAAGCCAAGTTCAACACTAAGAATAGAAATTAGACAAAAATAACAAAACTATGTCATCCTGATTCCAAAAATAGGTAATAATACATAAGGTTATTGAGGCTTAAGTATAATCTACAGTGATTAGATTATCATTGAGTGCTCTCTCAATGTTAGTCAAATTTATTCAAATAGGAAATGTTTCCAATTAAACCAGGTGCATTTTTAAAAATTACAAAAGAAAATGCTTAGAAAAACTTCAAAGTAAATGGTTCAAGTATGAAATTAAGAACAATTTGCTCCTAGGAAGTAGTCATGGTTATTATAAAATGGACAAATATAATCCCAATGCAGGCATGGCTTCCTGTGGTATTAAGAACATAACCTATGATTGATTACTCTTCACCTCCATCTCTAACTCCTCACAGAATATGAATAACTTAGTCCTCATTCTTTACTCCCATAACTAGATTGTTCTATAATTACCCATCAATAACTATCACAAAAATGCTGATAGACACAAACTGTTGCAATCTAAGTTGCTGTGCTGTTTCTAAATAAACTAAAAACAAGTGACTACATGTTGTACCAGGTATGTTTTTGTGACAAATGTCAAAGAAAAGGTTTTACAGTAAAATATAATTCAAGAAAGCAGAACTCTGTATCTCTAGTGAAGACACAATTACCTATTAATTTAATTGAATTTTTATCACATTTGATATTGAAAAACTATTTCCAAAAGTTTTCAGTCTCAAAATCCTGCACCTTTCTTATTGTATTCTTCAAAATTAACGCCTTGGCCAGGGTCTGCACAGTACAAGTGTTATGTAACTAACTATACTAAATCATGAGACTTTTCTGCCATTTCTAAGGCAAAGATGCATTCTTTTTTTACATTTTATTTTTAATTCATTTTACATTTCAACCACAGTTGTCCCTCCCTCTCCTACTGCCCCCTACTTCCCAGCCCAACCTGGTCCATTAAGTTAAGGTAGGACCAAGCTCTGCCCCCTGCATTAAGGTTGAGCATGACATTCCAACATAGGGAATAGGCTCCAAAAGCTAGCTCATGCACCAGTGAAATATCCTTGTCCTATTGCCAGAGGCCCCTCAGATAAACCAATCTTCACAACTGTCTCCCACATATAGAGGACATAGACTCCCGTGGAGTCTCCATAGCTGTCATTCTAAAGTTCATGAATTCCCACAAACTTGATTCAGCTGTCTGCATAAATATATATTCTAATATGAGACACGCTTCCAGTTCATGTGATAATTATAGATGAACTTCCTGCTTCCTGTCCTTCATTCTCCTTCCCTTCCTTCCTTATTTCTTTCCTGTCTCTTTTCCTCTTTCTTCCTCTCCTGTCTCTCCTTTCCTTCCCCCAGCCTTTTTTCCTCACCCCTAGATTTTCTTGTTTTCTTTTCTCTCCTCTTGTTTTCTCCATTTCTCCCACACCTTCCTTCCCTCCCTCCCTCCCTTCTTCCCTCTTTCCTTTCTGTTCATCTTTCTGCTTTTTCTTAAAAAATGTTTAAGTCAAAATTAATAACCTGCTTTTTATAGCTTAAATGGGAAGTTTTATTAGAAAGGGAAGGGGGAGAGAAAAGAGGTACAGAGGCACAGAGACAGAGAGAGGACAGAAGAGAAGAGGGAGACAGGAAAAGTAATGTCTGCCCCAATAACTTGCTTCTAAATGTCCTGTCACTAAGGATTCATGGTGAAGGAAGACACTGCTCCTTCTATTCCCATATTTAGCGAATTTTATGCCCCAAGGTTCATGGCTCAGCATTATTTGTTTTGTAAGAGATCACTCTTTACTCTTTTTTCAAGAAATTACTTTATGCAACAAATTTAACATAATTGCATTAATTGAAATAATCTGATAAGTAACCACACTCAACTAAATCTGGGTAAAAGCCAGTAAGTCATTGGAATTTAGACTTTATGAAGTCATGAGATAGAATCTACAATAACACTTCAGATACTTGTCAGTTAAAGGTAGTAGAAAAATAGTATTAACCAGTTTTTAATCAACTCCACTCTAGCCCAATATCCTAACAATGTTTTAGAAATTACTAAAAATTTCAAAACTAATAAGTCTCTATAATAACATATAGTAGAAAAGTAAAAAGAATTAGGAAGGAAAAATAGGTTGTTTTTACACTCACTTGTATATTACGAAAGCTAATTCAATTCATATGCTTTTTGAAAAATAAAATTTGGATCTTTGAACATCATATGTTACATTTCCATAAAACTAAAATATCTTTCTTCAAATATAGAAAGCATGATGTCAATGTAAGTCATGTTGAATGGAAAAATACAGCAGTTTTGAACTAAAATGACTGGAAATAAATGGTCCTTGATATGTAATATTTATATTAGCAATTTTCAGCGATTTGCATTTATCTTTTAGTGTGTAGATATGCATTATCAGGTGTGTGTGTGTGTGTGTGTGTGTGTGTGTGTGTGTGTGTGTGTAACCTATGATAACCATGTGGAGGTCTCAAGACAACTTGTGGGATTTGGTTTTCTCCTTTTACCATAGGTCTGTGGACTGTCATCAGGCTTGGTGGCAAGTACATTAAACCTATGAGCCATTTTACTGGTTTTATGATTATATAATGTTTGACATTAAAAAATTCCAAAATAATCTCCTTTGCATTTCTACTTATTTTCTACTTAGTTATGTAGAATTATTGACTAAAACTCTCTTAGTAGAAAGATATCATGAAATACATACATATTGATTTTACAATATGACAAGGTAAAGAGACATATGACAAGAAACAATTAATACAATGATTATAATAGATTTAATGAAAAAGAAGAAAATAAAGAAGTTAGGATTTTAAATAGAGCAAATCTTACAAAGAAAATTACAATTCACAAAACATTTGAAGTGTTCCAGGGAAAGATCAATGACAGAAGCAGAGAAATAGTAAGAAAAGGCATTATTATTAATGTCTCTAGAATTACATCAGAAAATAATTTGATTTATGTCTCTCTATATATTGTAAATATTTGATAAATATATTTAGATATTAGGCTGATGAAATCACTTTTAAAAATAACTTATTCGTAAAATGAACATATTTAGAGAAACTATATTTCTATATGAGTTCATAGTTCAAAGATGACTTAATTGCATATGTTAATCAATATTAAAGGCATTAAATGCTTTAATTTTGCCATTAAAAGTAATACATGAAAATACTATGAGTTTTTAGAGGATTTCGTTTGGGCAAAATTAAAGTACTGGCTTCACTCCATTCTTATGACATGATGCACCAGGATCAAGAATAAGGGAATTTGTATAAGTTATATCTTATGAATGATTATTCTAGCAAATTATACATGTCCATAAAAATCCTAAAGAATATAAATGTATTGCACAGTTTTTGTCTTTAGTTTGGGAAAGAGAAATCAGACTATCAACACAAATACTAATGCTTGTGAAGTATGAAGGACAAAGGAAATGTCTTCATAGACTGTTTAGCATTAGGTCAATTACTTGTCTTTTATGTATGTCAAATGTTAATTGTACTCCTAAGGTAATGAAAATCTGCTTTTGCACTTTTATGAATTTCTGTTATAAACTCTAAATGTAAGTACTTAGAAAAGCAAACTAAATTATATTAAAATCAATAGTAATCCATAATGAAAAGGAAAATGCTATAGTTTGTATATGAATATTGAAATGTGAGGATGAAAGTATATTTTATGATTTTTTCCTAATTAAAAAAATTCTGGCAGGGTGGTGGTGGTGCATGTCTTTAATCCTAGCACTCGGGAGGCAGAGGCAGGTGGATCTCTGTGAGTTCCAGACCAATCTGGTGTACAAAAGCTAGTTCCAGGACAGGCTCCAAAGGTACACAAAGGAAACCCTGTCAAGAAAAATGAAAAAAAAAATCTGCTTGGTATAAGGGAATCCTTCTTGAAATGCATAGTGATTGCCTTAATTATAGTCCACAGATGATATCTTCCCCAAAGCATCAATATGAAATACACAAAGCCAGTCTACCTAAAAACTGAAGAGACTGTCAGGAAGAACTACAATTCAGACCTACAACCTCAAGGAACTAACTTTTACATTCTGCTGCTGGAGGTTGGAAGAAGCACCTCATATTTAGAGAGGAACAAAGCTTGATTAGTGTACAGATTGCAGATTGCAAAATCATGACTAGGCTCCCCAGTAAAGCCATAAAAACTTTAGCACAGTGAATGAGTATTGCTTCAATATCTTACTTATTTGTCAAGCAGTAATAGCAAATTAATATGAGCATAAAAGTTGCATTTTTAGTTTTCTGTGCATGAATATATGCTAATATTACCTTGTTATCAAGATTTGTAGAATATTAATTTTATAGTACTGAGAAGGCAGTGAGCAATCAATATTAGAATATGGCAATTAGCAAGATAATGGGCCATGAATAATCATCCTTTGACTTGTCTCCTTTCTTCAGTGTTGGGGCTATGGAACAACAGGAGTTGTGAAGACTCATCGTCTATATTGCAGCAATAAACAATGAATACAGGGATACTTCAGCCTATGCCTCCCCAAGTGAGACTGATAAATCAACACTAATGATTTGGAAAACAATATGTGAACCTTGTGACTGATTCTTAGCATATGCTTTTAAAAGCACATAGTCTCTTTAGACTTTAAAACAAAGGACCAGGAAGAAACACATCTTCCTGTCTTACATGTGAAGAAGTGAGGCTTCTGTGAAATTTACTGGGAAGGAGTGAAGTCCATACTCTTAGTCCACACAAATGACCTAGCAGAGCATCTTCTGTGTGGTTGTGGTTTGGGGCTGGAAGGAATCATTCTGACAGCAACATACCCTCCCTCCTCTGCTCAGATGTTGAGGGAGAAAGGAGAGATTGCCATCAGATAATTAAAAGAAGAAATTACTAATATCTGAAAACAATG